AAGGGTGCAAGTGCAATGCTGTGCAGCCAATAATAAACGGCATCACGAAGTCAGTCAACGGAGGGGTTGATTCGCATCAAATGTGAGGTTGAAGGCTTATTTGCCACCTTTTTAGTTCAGGGGCTTGTCACTTGCTTTCAAAAAAGTTTAGGGGCTTAAGAAGGGTTTTTGCCATTCAGATTTTCTATTGATGAGCAAACCATGTTTTTCTTGACTAAAGATTTCATAATAAGCAAGTGTGTTATCCTAAATGGTAAAACTAAGTCAAGTTTACTAAAAATTGCTAGGATATTTAATATCACCTTTTGCAGGGGCCTCTTGCCACTCCTATAAATCCCTCTATTGCTCTTCATGCATTCATTCAAAAAAGTGATTTTCTTAGTTGTTTTAATTGACAGAAATGGCTGAATTTGCCTCCCCATTTTCTATCTTGACTCTCCTTATGCTTTCATTTGTTTTCTCAGGTACCTTGAACATTGTCTTTTCCTTTCTTAAGTTTCTTCCCTATAGTCCCTTTTTGTTTTTCATTCATTTTTTTCAAGTCATCTAAGATCTTTGAAAAATCTCTGCACAGTTCTTAACTATTAATTTATGTCTATTTTTTGCAGGAGAAGCAGTAGTCACAAATGAAGTGAGTGTTTATTTTGAAATTTGAGATCAACAATGGGTGGTAATCTTATATGTGCGCATGAACTTGCAGAAAAATTGGTGTGTTGCAAAGGCAACAGCTGAAGATCCTGCGCTGCAATCAGCTCTAGACTATGCTTGTGCCCGTGTAGACTGCAGTGAGATACAGCCCGGTGGTTCGTGCTATGAACCAAATAATTTGTTCAGCCACGCCTCATATGCCATGAACCTCTCTACTATCAGAACACAGGGAAACAAGCCTCAAGTTGTGACTTTAATGGTTCTGGCATGATTGTTGTTACTGATCCAAGTAAGCCAACTTTAGTTCAATGTATACTATGGATGGAAACTAGAGTTTTTTACTTCTTTTCCTATTTATATTCTTTAATAAAAAAATATTTTACGTGATGAACTAAGTACAATATAAATATTATTTTATTAAAAATATTTTAATAAATTTATAAAGTAAATTATATTTTTAATGTATAATTTTTTTTGAACTAACATTTTTAATGTGTAATTTAAACGGTAAAACATTATTCACTTATCTAGTTGAATTTGTTGTTTCGTTCTTTTTGCAGGCTATGGAACTTGCAGCTATATAAGTGACTGATGCAGCGTTGGGTAGCAAACTGTCATACATTTTAATTAAAAAAAAAAAAAAAAAGAAAAAACCTCAGGGTTCTACAGAAAAAGTTTTTGTTACAAATATTTTCAAGTTTCTTTGTGAGAGATCGATATTTTTATGGACTGTCTATTTCTAGTTCTGTATTTCCCTATGAAGAAAATTAACAAGAATAAACCCTGAAATTAAATAAAACTTATTTCTTTTGAGATATCATGCATAGTTAATCAGAGGAAATCAATTTTTAATATAATAAACTGTCTGGGCCATTATTGCCTACTGTTACTATTCTATGCTATTATGTTCATACTCTAATATTACTGTGTAGGTCAAGTTTGGTGTGAAAATCAAAGAAAGAATTCCATTGCAAAGGCTAAATGAATTCAAGTCACCCCTTAATCTCTTGTCCAAAAGGATAATAATGAGAAGTAACACAATTCAAATTGGAACAGAAATGTTCAGTAATTTTGTTTGGCACTAACAAAATTTTTTTGTTTGTTTAACTATCATAATATTTTCTCGAGTAACTAATATGCATTTTAAAATTAATTTGTCTCTTAATTTAGTTATCCACTTTGTTAATCTGCCAAAATAGATAGTCATCATCTATCTAAATGAGATGAAATAGATCATTTAAATCTGCATAGAGATTAATTAGAGTTGGAGAGTCAGTTAAGCATGGAGAAAGTATTAAGCACTCACGGCTTCTTTTGTACAAGCTACAGTTACCACATACCATCAATTTATGGTAATTGCAGTCATTATACAATCAATTTGAAGGCATTCCTTCATTCTCCTATCACGTGAAATCACCTTTTAATCCTAAACGTAAACATGAAATGATACATCAGATACAATAATGTGTTAACATCTCAAAAAATGGAACAAAAATATAGTGTTTAATTGCGGGTCTCATTACTGTATTAGTTTATCTTTATACCCCAGTAAACGTGAATTTATGCAACCTTTTCATCAAACAGCACCTGTTTCTGCCAATTCTGTTCATAAACAGACATGTATATATCATGTCATATATCTATTCTAGTTTGTAGTTACCAAGTTGTTCTCGTAAACATGAAAATGGAGCAATACCTACTCCATTGGAAAGGATATAGTAAGAAAGGTTAACTCCAAAATCACACAATTTTCACCTTACTATTAGCTCACAAAGTACTTCAAGCAGTTGTGACTTGTGAAAGCAATGAATTCTCCTTGGTATAATTCAACTCCAACGACCTCTTCATTCACTTGTCTTTACTGCTTTCACATGATCACAATGGCCAAACCAACTCTTTTCCTCCTCATTTTCTCCTTTCCAGTTCTGCTTCTGTTGTTTTGCTCTGGTACTTTCTTGCTTCCAATCAAGCTTTGCTAATTTTTACAATCTTTCTATTTCTAATGTATTTCTCTGCAGGAGGATCTGTAGAGGTTACCAGAGGACAAGTAAGTTCCTGAATGATTTTTCTCTTTTTCCATGCTATTTTTCACTTTTAAGATACTGTAAAGTTTTTCTGTCATGCATGATTGTTATGAATCCATTGATGTTGCAGAAAACCTGGTGTGTCCCGAACCCAATGTCTAATGAATCTGAACTGATGTCAAACCTAGAATTTTCCTGCAGTCAGGTAGATTGCCATTTGATACAACAGGATGCCCCCTGCTTCCTACCAAATACTCATTTTCACCACGCTGCATTTGCCATGAATCTCTACTACCAATCCAGAGGCAGGCGCAGATCAAGTTGTGACTTCAATAACTCTGGTCTGGTCTCCTTGACTGACCCAAGTAAGCCTCCTTAAATCATTCCCAGATCTCACTCAGGCATTTCATCAAGCATTTCGCAAACATTCTTGAATTTGCACCAATTTTTACAGGTTCTGGTAACTGCACTTTCCAGAGCGGTATGCAAACTCAAAACCCTTCCACAAATTTCTTTTACCTTCATTATCTTCACAATCACAATAAATAATACCCGTGACGGAACCTTTTGCAGGAGGAAGTCAAGCAGAGGAAACATCAGTAAAATTTTTAAACAATCACCATAATTTTTAGGTTTCAATTGAGCTTAAACATGGCTGAAAACGATTATATTTATGTACATTGGCCTTGCAGGGAACATGGTGTGTGGCGAAGCCGGAAGCAAGCGACGATTTGCTGCAGCAGAACATCGACTTCGCCTGCAACCATGTGGACTGCAGCCCTATCCAAGAAGGGGGCTTCTGCTACATTCCAGTCACCCTCATCAACCATGCCTCATTCGCCATGAATCTCTACTTCAAGACCACCGGCGGCAATAAATCCAGCTGTGACTTCCGGCGGACGGGCCTCACCGTTACTAGTGATCCAAGTAATCATTTATTTATTTATTTTTAATATTTTTCAAGTGAGATTACATTTTTAATGTATAATTTAAAATTCTTTCATTTATTAATTCATTAATAATAATTGGGTTTGGTTAAGATTCATTAATTAATTAATTTTTAATTAATTTTACATAAATTTTTATATAAAATTTATTTTTTTTATAAATTTTAAATATAAATATTATATTATATTTTTATATTTCTTATTCTATTATATTTAAGTTTTATATAAAATTTTTTGTCAAATTAATTATAAATATTATAATTAATACAATTTAATTCCATACTTAAAAGGTACAAATTAAAAAAATTTCATAATAATTTAATAATTTTATTCAGACTGTAGTTTTATAATACAATATGAACTAAAAAATCTTCTATCTTTTTGCTCATATATGGAAGGTTTTTTACTTTTTTTAAAATGTAGTAAATTGGTTTATATATCTTTTGGCAGGCTACGGTAGCTGCTTCTATATATGAATGGCAATACTGAGGGGAAGCCTTTGGGTTTTTCAGATGTATGTGTTCTTGATACGAATAAAGCATGATGATGATTTCATTTTCAGTAATAATCTGCATAGCAAGGAGAAGCTAGCATGAGAGTTTTTGTTTCTAATTTCCTCTTGAAAAACTTCATAATGTATGCAATTAGTTGAACTAAAAATGGAAAAATCTGGTATAAGGTTTCATTTCTCATAAGCTTAACATAAAACGATAAACCAATGAGTTGTTAGTTTTAGTGAAAAGAATTCAGTTATTTTAAATAATATCTT